GCTTCAGTTTGAAATCATCTCAACGCAATATCATCTGGGGAACATCTCCCAGCACTAACGGGGCTGTGGAGAAAAGGGACAGGGTCAAGTGGGGCTGGACGATCCAGGCACATTCATGGGGTGCAGTGGGACAGCTCCATGACAATTCTCACGGTCCCAGTGGCTGGGTGACCTACCTCTGTTCCTGCCTGGCCTCTGCCACACGGACACTGAAGCTTAAGAAACGCAGCTCCGCAGTAGCCACTGTGCGGAGAGAAAAGCTGTGATGATGTGGGGCTTGAGTCCTTATCCCCACCAGACGAGAAAGGGGAACAAATCTGGCACTGTTCAGTCGCAGGAGGATGAGGTGGCTCAGAGAAAGTTCCTCAAATGGTATCTGATCTTTGTTTATCCAAGAAGCGGAAGGTAGCAAAGCTGCCTCTGAAGACTGGAATCCTGGCTCTGTGAGTGAAGCAGGTGAAATGTTGCAGTTTTATTCTTTCAAAGAGCTTTTATCCAGACGGTATAGGAAGCATTTGAATTAATTCAGTGCAAAGCTAGGAGTGCACAAGGTAAAGGTGTCGCTTGTGTGGTGCCTGCCACCAGGCAGGATTGAACTGGCTGCAAAGGGGGAAAGAGGAAGAAAGGAAACACGCACAAGTAAATTCTTGAGGAACCCCTCTCCCCATGGAAAGACAACAGTGCAAACACCCTTCTTGTCAAGGGTACCTGGGGTTAGGGAGTGGCAAATCCCCCCTTGGTAGACTTGGGGAAGACCTGTCAGGGAGGTAAGGTCCAAAATGAGCTTCTGCTGCTGACCTAGCAGCAGCCTTTGCAATGTCCTGCCAGGGAGCCTTCCCAGCTCCAGGCAGATGGAGCAGAGAGCAGCATGTTGGGCAACAGCGGGTTAAACTCGAGGGGGATTTGGCGAGCTGCTTCCTCCCAGCTAACAATAATAACACCGTGAGGGGGAGAGGGGATGCACAAGGGCCCTGCAGGGCTTGATAGAGGCTGAGCAACCCTGGCCGGGCAGCTGCAGCAGCGCAAGAGGAAGCCTCGGCGCGTTATCTGCTGGCCCCACTCAGCCTCTTTGGCAGCCCTTTCACCGCGGGGACCGAGAGGTGCTTCCTCCTGTGCCGCACGCAGCGTGCGCTGGGGCAGGTCCTAGCGTGCAGCCCTGTGCACCAGCACCCTCCTCTGTTTCTCCCAGCATCACCACCGCGTCGGGAACCCTCAGACAGCACCGGACCCCTGGACAATCCTCCTTTTCAGCAATGGAAAACCTGCTATCCCAACCCCAAGGGCATTTGTGACCCCAGGATTGTGGTTCTGGGCATAATCTCCTGGGGCTCTGAGCCACAGGGGCACAGAGATGTCCGCAAGATGCCCATCCTGCTAGCCCGTGCTATAGAGAGTGCCCACACCTTGGCGGAATGAAGAGCCGTCCCAGCTGGAAGCCGGCGCAGCCTCATGCGAGAGGGAATCCAGGTCCTGGCTGAGGTTCCTGCAGCTCTGTCTGCCTGTGCTCCTTGTCCTTCACCTGCTGGCTGAGGTCTGCTGAATCCAGAGCTTCCAAGACCAAATGTCCTGGCTACACTGGCTGTTGCTCCTCTTGCTGCTGGGCTGCATCTCCCAGCGCTTCCTCATGTGCTGGCTGTTTCTGACCTTCCTCCCATGTGCTGCTCCACCTCCCACAGATTCGTGGCAGTCAGATCCATGTCACAGGAGCAGCCCTTTTCCCTTTCCAGTCTCTTCTTTCACCTGTTCCTTCCTGTAGCTGGTTTTGCTTTTACAAGGTTCTTAACAGCCATGTGCTGTTGTCCCCTTTAATGCATGGGCAGCCACCTCTCTAAGACAGTCTTGCCCTGGTTAAGAGCCCTGGATGGTTCCTCTGGGGCTCCCTGTTTCATTCTCACATTAGTCCCAAGCCCCATGGACATTTCTGACCCCAGCTCCTGTGGCAACAAGTCTTTGCCAGTGGCTCTTGGGCTGAAGCTGGTGGATGACCAGGAAAACGGGTTTTTCTCAATGATCCTGATGTTCCCTGAAGTCAGTCCCCGGGCCTTGGATCAGCTCACCAGAGCACAGACACATGACTTCTCCTGGATATTCCTGTTGCCCTCAGGGCCTGTCAGGGCAGCCAGAGCTGCTCTTCCTTGTGGGGGGGTGATAGAGGGGCTGGCTCAGTTCAGGATGTCCATGGGGCTTGGGGAGGCAGGTCCCCTACAACCTCCATATGAAGGACTCCCTCTTTGTAGCATCTTGTCTTTCTTTCTTATTTCTGCACTGCAGGTGCAACTACCAGCTGGCAGGGCAAATTCTTTGATTACTTTGGAGCTGGGTCCTCTGTGCAGATGTGCATGTTAGAGGATGGGCAAAATTCTGGCCCAACCTGTGCCCATCCCACAGCTTCAAGTAGACCCTGTTTTTAGGTGCTAAAAACAGATGGATCTTGAATCATTCTTGCTCTCTCCCAGCTTGTCCTTGAGTCTAGTGGCCTGATAGAGCTAGTCTTCATGTACCTATTCTGAGTCCTGTGAAAGGACGATGCATGGGGCTGCACATGGCAGCAAGCTCTACAAGGATGCTCAGCCACAGCCCTTGCTGTGTCTCACTGCCACTAAAATACTGTCATTGCCCGTCATCTTTCCACAACACAACAGGGTCCGGAAAGAGCAGACATGGGTATAGGAGGAAAGTGTGGGCATGCTGAGCAAGAAATCTGTTGCTATCCTGGAAAGGGAGCACAGCTGACTGCAGAGGCCATGACCAGTATGTGACCAGTTTCAGTGTCCCTTGCCCATCACTGCCAGGGGAGCACTGATATCTGACACTGCCCAGAGCTGGGAGATAACCCGACACAAAGGGAAAAGCCAACAAAAGGGAGAAAAGGGAGTGAGCAAGGCAGGAAACATCAGTCAGAAGAGGAAATGGGGAGATAATCAGCTGCATAAAACACAAACATCCGGAACATGAGCAAAGGAAAAGCCAACATCACTTGGCAAGTGTTCGAGTGAGAAGATCGGCCCATCCTGGCCTCTTTCTGAGCCTTCTTGGGGAACATGCATCCCAGAGCAAGGTCTTTGGCCATCCCCGGCCTCTGAGATACCCTGGCTGGCATAGCCTCTGGAAACTCAGTTCTGCATGAGATCATATTCCCTGGGAAGAACCTAACATAGGGCTTGGGGAACGGCTAGCTTAGTTTGGGATGATAAAGCACCCAGTGGTGACTCTCAGTTGGCAGAAAAGGTTTCTTCCCTAGAAGACATGATGAGAGGCAGTCTGGGTAGTGCTGCCCCAGTCCGGTGTTTGCTTGAAAACTGGGACCAGCACTGCTGGATCTGCTGCCCCCGCATGGCAGATAACCTGCTGCACGTGGGATGTCCAAGTGCTGGAATGGAAAACTCTGCTGGGCTGGGCTTCTTCTGCGCCACTGCTCATGGTGCTTCAACACCCCCCCAGCCCCCCGCCCTTGAGGCTTGTTTTCATCTCCAGTGGGGCACACAGATTTGCCAGCACCTGGCCCGAGCTCAGCCAAAACCCACTGCCAGGGCACAGGGGCAGCCACATTGTGCCCCAGCTCTGCAGTCCTGGCAGTGCAGCTCATGGAGCCTGTCCCACCTTGCAACAACCCCGTTTTTCTGAATATTTGCAGGAGAGCAGCTGCATCTGTCTCCTGGGGCTAGCAATGATGCTGAGGAGCAGAGAGGGGGTCACAGGTGATAAACTGCCTTTAAGCAGTGGTGGGATCCCTGCCATGACACATGGCACGGGGCAGGAGGGAGAAAACTCACAGGGTGAGATAAACATGGGAAAGATGATCATGGAGCTGGCCCACAGGGCCTGACTGGGCCCCAGCTAGGACAGGAGGGCAAGAGGGGCACTTGTTGGAGACTTAGCCACATCTCTCAGCCAGTGCTAGGCAAGGGCTGAGGGCAACCGTATCTCTAATCTTTAGTGTGGGATAAGCAAGCATCTGTTTGAGGAGCCAGGAGGCTGTGAAGCACCCATCAATCTGTGCCTTGTGCTTTGTGTGCTTGTGAGGGCAAAGTCTGGGTGAGGGGAACCTGCAGCATCCACACTCATGGTTGGGAAATGGGGGACTCCTGTGTAGAGAAGCACAAGGCCTCAAACCTGTGACATCAGCCAGTGCTTCCCAGCAAGTCTCATCCCTCCTGTAGAGAGGTATGGCCCCAGAGGAGCCCAGGACCAGAGAGAGGGCAATGCATCAGCCAGTCCTCAAGATTAGCACCCTTCAAGAGATTAGCCAGGAGATGTGGTAGACTGTAAGAAGCAGCAGTGGAGAACTCTGGCCTTTCTTCTCCTGTAAACCAGGTGTACCTGAGACTTGGCCTGGTTTTGAAGGAGCCCCCACTTCCTTCTCCCAGGATCTCCCCACAACAAGCAAAAGCTCTTCCCAGAAGATGGAGGCAGGAGCAGAGACCTCTAGCTTTCTGAAGCTGGGAAAATTAAGTACTGCCCCCAAATTCTTCTCTTTGGAGATGCTACCACCTCCTGGGCAAATTCATGTAGTCCAGGGCTGCGCAACTCATACAGAAGCCCTATCTACTACAGGTGGTCAGTTGTTAAGGTATCTTACCTTACTAGCTTCCCCATTGGCAGAAGAACCATTCGCTTTGGGTGGAGACATGGAGAAACTAGGCTGAGCCATGTGCACTCAGGGGAAGATAACAGGCCTTTGTGCTAGTTAAATAGCCTGTGGGGCCTTCCTTGCACTCAGAGCTGCCCCAGGTAAGGCAGGCAGACTGCTATAATGCCAGGTTATTTTTTGCAGAGGCCAGCTCCAGGCCAGGGCAGAGAGAGCCTTGCAGAGACACTGCAGCTGGGAGAAGGCACAGGTACTATTGGTTGCTTTATGTTTATTAGTAACTCTGACCTAGGGATCACAGACTGTCCCACATGGACTGGGGCCATCCCAGGCAGCTCTCCTGAAGGCCATAGAGGGATGAGCAGATGATTCAGTACACCTGGAGCCCCCTGTCACGACGTGGTCTCCTACAGGGGTGGGCAGTACATGCTGTGCTGTCTCTCACCACGGAATAGCTTTGCCTTCCCAGTTGAGCAGGCTCCCGCTGTGCTTCTCCGACAGAATCGGCAGTACGGAGAGCAGCCCCCGCACACTCGTGTCCACTGTCAGGTCAGCCTGCAAGGATCCAACAAAGGGCGTGGGTGAGGAGCAGGACTGAGACGACACAGCCATTGCTGACCATCTACCTGCATGCACCCAGCGGGTGTACATCCACAGCAAGTTTCCTTCTGCCCAGATTCTGAGTGAGAGCCACAGGAGGAGGGACAGGTTCGTTTTGTGAGTGGGTAGCAGGTACCACATGGAGGTACCTGCCTCAGATGGAGGCAGCTTGGGCCAGGAGGCCAGCTGAGCAGGGACAGTAAACAGACACATTGACTTTGCCAAGCAGGCCATGCAAAATATCCTGCTGCAAGTGTGATGCTACATGCAGGCTTCTCAAACCTCCAGGGCTGCAGGGATAGCACTCCTCAGAACAGGGATCCTGCTGTGTGAACAGGAAACCTGTAGACTTCCTTGACCTGCAGCTCTCTTGAGGAAGAGAGTGCAGGGTAGAAGGAAAGGGCTGCTCTGTTCACCCCTGTTCCATTGAATCCAAGTTCCCTGCCCCTCTCTGGGCCTGTCCAAAGTCTTTGCCCTTCTGAAGAGGCCTCCTACTACTCCTGGGTGCGCTGCTCTGGTACAGGATATGTGCTGATGTGCTTTCACAGAATGCCCTTGCATTGAAGTATTTATCAGCACACACAGGCTCCGCAGGGGCCCAGCACAGACCCAGACAACTCATGCCCTAGCAGGTAGCTCCTTCCCACACACCTCCCTCCTTTGGAGGGCAGTCTTGGCTACCTGGGGCACCTCATGCATGGGTGTGAGTTTGCTGGGTGGACTCTCTATGTGAGACCCCCTCATTCCTGCCCAGAACTCACCTCCTGGGTGCCCATGTCAGTTTTCACCCAGCCAGGGTGAAGCGCCACGCAGAGGATTCCAGTCTCTCCATAGGTCAGAGCCTGGCACTTGGTGAGCATGTTCAAGGCAGCCTGGAAGAGGAAGGGAGCATAAGCAGCAGGCAGCACTTAGCAGCAGAAAGTACCACACAACAGACTACCCTCCAATGTCTCCATGTATCCCCTCCAATGCTGTTGAAGGCAAAGGAGAAAAAAACACCACCAAGTCTCCAGGAGCCTACACAGAGCATGTGTCTTTCTTCAGTGAGCAGGGGCATGGAGATGCCCAGAGAGCTCAGGCTGCGATTGCTATAGTTAAGTGCCTCTACTTGGCAAGCTCAGGTGCCACCCTGAGACCAGGCCTGCCAAGGCCCTTGCTCCTGCTGAGCTTGCAAGGGAAGGCAGGACCCTGGTCTCCATACCTTGCTGCAGCGATAGGAGATGACAGGCTTGAAGAAGGACTCAGAAGTTTTCCCAATGGACCCCAGAACGGTGGAGATGTTGATGATGGCAGCCTTGCTGCAACTCAGTCCCTTGTCTGTGCTCTCCTGGGCAGCCTTCTTCAGCAGTGGAAGGAACGCCTGCAGAGAAGTAGCATCATGTGTTGTCTGTGCCTTGGGCAAGATCCATTTCTGGCAACTGCAGCTTAGCCTCTCTGGGCAGGGAGGATGAAGAAGAACAGTGGGAATCTGGGTGTTTTGCTGCAGTAGCCTTGTCCCGTCCCCCCCAGGGCTCTTTGCAAAGTAATCCCGGATCTCTGTTGGCCATCAACAACAAAGAGGTGTGTGGCCAAAGATATAGAAAACTCCCTGCCAAATGGATCCAATACAAAGGGGAAGCTGCTATGCCAAGGAAGCTGCTATCAGGGTAAAGCACAGACCAGCTAGGCCAAATTCCCCCTCTGTGGTGACTTCTGTCCCCAGGGTTACCTGGGCCATCAGCAGTGGCCCCACTGCATTGGTCTTGTATGCCCTTATCATCTCTTCAGAGTCCACTGTGTCCAGCGTCACAGGGGCATAAATGCCAGCGTTGTTTATCAGCAGATTCAGGCCTGTGCCACTCAGCTTCCCCTCCACAATCTTCACAGCATCAGTAATGTCTGCAGGATTTGCAACATCTGCAGAGATGGAAGACAAGTTTTGAGCCGTCTCTGACCCAACAACCCCCTGGCAGAGGTGGCTCCATTTCCTTGTAGAGTCTGAACAGCCTTGAGGCTGCTTGGAGACTGACCATGCTCATGATGGATGCTCCTATGGAAATCTCACACTGGAGTCTGTTTTGCACAGAGGAAGTACCATGGCCCTGGCCCAAGTCGAGACGTATGGCCGGACTATGGCACACTCAGAGCGCCCTGGGTCTCTGTACAAGATGCAATCAGAAAGCAGTGTCAATTCTACAACAGCACTTGCTCTTCTGGGAGAGCCATTCACATAGGCTAAAGATGCCTGCTGGCCTGTCCAGTGCTGGCTGGATCCTTCATTATAGAGGAGGGCTCTAAACTGGACCCCTGATGCATAAAAATGAACCCCAGGACAGCCCATTCTCCCACTGGCACCACTTGCAGTTGGCCATCAACAAGTCTGTCTTGATGGGACTTAACAGGAGTGCTTGAGAAAAATGCCTGACCTTGGTTAGCAGCACCCCTGCCAGGGGAATGTTTGATATTTGAACGCTAAGCATTTTTGGAACCTCTGCATCCAGAGCCCACACTCATGGGGCCTAGGTGGAGATGACGCAGAACATCATCTCTGTCTGCCATCCGTGGACAGCAGATGGAGCTGTGCAGCCACCTCAGAGCTGAAACCCATGGACTCTTAAGGCTGTCTCCTCACAGAAAAGAGTTCAGGGTGTCCCACTACCATCAGTCCAAGTGTTTCCCCCAGGGGAACCCTGGAATCACCCCGGCAGTGACACAGTGTTGTAGTGCCTTCCCTGCTGTGTCAGTATGGTCAGCAGCAGTCCTGGCCTCCCCTCAATGGGCAAAGTTCCCTCCTTAAGCAATTCTGAAGAGCCATGAGGCAAAATGAAGTGTGGAAGAAGTCTCTACATGGGCTGTGCTGGGTCCTACTCTACCAGCAAGAGTTGGAGATGCCCAGGATTGTCTCAAGTGCCTCCCAGTCCTGTGGCCACACGACATGGGGGCTGCAATGAGCAGGGTACTAGGGACAAGGGGACACAGGGGTTGAGGTAAGTCCAGAGAAACTGGTACTTAAAACCTAAGTGTTGGGCAGCCCTTAAGAACTGAAGCCCAATACAGAGGCTGTACATGGGGAGGGAGAAATGGAGACCCTGTTGGTAGCAGGGTCCATTCAGAGGCAGAGTACACCTACCCAGTTTCACAAGAACCAGGTTTGGGTGCCTGGATGCCAGATCTCTCAGCTCCTACAAAAAGAAACACAGAAATAATCAAGGCACTAGCCATGGCCCACCCTAAGGGAAACATCTTCCAGAGGGCCTTGCCTTCACCCCAGGCCAGAGAGACAAGATTAGTCAACACTTAAGAGTGGCTGCACATGGGGCCTCCTTAGATGCTCAGGTATTCCTGGGCTCCATGAGGCAACAGCCACATAAACAGCGCAAAATGCAGTCACGAATGCAAGATATTACTCTTTCAAAACTGCTTGAGCTTCATGCACAACACAGCCAGGTCCTCATCAATGGATGGAGACAAATAAGTAAGGATCAGCTTATCTGGGAAATGATGCAAACTACCGGGGAATAAGGCCAGAAGATTCTCTCAAAGGTAGCTGGGAATGACTAGGAGTTAATTCCTGCCAATCCTGATACTGTGCATCATTCTTGCTGCCGCAGGTGACTAGCCCCTGTACAGCTCTGTACTTGACTTTCGTATTTGTTCAACATTTCTCACCACAAGGATCATAGTCACCTCTAGCAACTCACTGGCCCTGCATTTTCATCCAGGTATCTTTAACTAAAGAGCAGGGCACTGTGCGGATATGTGAAGGCAGCAAAACACATTTTTGGGGCCTGCATCTAAGGCATCTTCATACACATGCCAGACACAGCCCTGCATGAAAATAGAGAAATGAAAATAGAGCCCTGCATGAAAATAGAATACAAAAACTACACAGACAGCAGCATTACTTCCCCCCACAAGATCCTGGAGATTTGCCCCTTCTTTTTCTTGTAATTGCCTTAAAATGACGAAGTGATTTAACATTTGGTAGACAAGTTTGGGAAAATCTTGTGAAAACCTGTGAAAACCCTGATAAAATAGAATAAATAATGAGCTTCAGGACTGGGCAAGATCTCACACACCTTTCCCTGGACCAAGAGTGGTTTATGTGCTCATCAGCCCCTGAATTTTGCTGTGTTTGACAGCACTGACCAAAGAGGGTTGGAGCACTGTCCTATGTGCAGTCTTGAAGGCTGGGGAAGTCTTAACTGGAACCAAATAGCACAATCTCAGGTCTCACCCTGCTCTGTACACTACATATCAGCCAATCGAATGAAATGAAGCACCTTGCCGATTTTTTATGGATTACTTTTGCCCAAAGATAAAGGGTTCAGAAAACTTTTTTATAAAGGATAAAATCCAAAATGAAACTTTCAGCTTTGCAGTTTTTAACTTTGTTTTCTTCTACTGCAGCAAGTTTGAAATATCTCAAAACAAACCACCACATTCGATCTGGCCAAATGTTTATCTTTTACAGCTAATTAACATTTCTAACAGGAAATGAACATCAGTGAGGTCTCGTGGGCTGCTGCAATCCCTTGGGCTCATCCTATCAGCGCAGAGTGGGAGAGTCACGGGTCTGGTTCCAAGCTCAGTTGTCCTCTGGGGCTCTGTGCTTTATCATCAGATTCTGCATTCCCACATTCCCTCTAGACTCAAGAAGTCATGGAAAATACTTCTAAAGGGTTTTGCAGTGATCAGAATTCATTTTTCCTCTCATGACGTGTTTTGTCCAGCTGCTGGCCTTGAGAACATCACATCTCCCTCGAGTAAATCCAGTCCAACTCACCCCCGAATACCTGACCCAGCCATGAAGGGGCAGGAGGAGTGAGGGTGGCTCTGCCCTGGCTGAGGGTCACCCCACACTCTGTCCCTCATGGTCCCTGACTTTAGCAGCACCTTGAAAATGCTGCCCTCACCCTGCCTCAGCTGAACAAGGCTTATAGAAGTATCCTGTGCCTGACAGCAGTGACCAGCTTGGAGAACTTGGTTTCAGTCCTGCCCTGCAAACAAGCCCTTTGATCCCATCAGTAAACACCCAAGCCCAGCACCTATGGGCGGAGAACAGGGCAAAAAATTAGGGACCTCGTCAGGACTCTTTAAGCTGTGCTTCCCACATTGCCCTTGCACATGGGCAAGCTGCAAGAAGATGCATCACTGACTCTGCATGCCCAACTTTGTGCAAGCTGAAGCAACAGTCACGAGACGTGTGGAGAAGGAGAGGGTGGGTTGCAGCACTGCCTGCGTAATCTCAATTAGCTCATTGGGGGAGTTCAGTAACAGGGATTTAGTAACACTTCTTTCTCCTCTGCCAGCTTCGTAAGAGATTTTCAGAATAACTTTCATACCAAACATGCACTACAAAAAGCACTTGGTGCAAGCATGAGAGACATGAAGCTCAAAACATGATTTTTCTTTTTGCCCAAGTTATCTGAACACGTTACTAATTACAGCTACCTGTGCCCAGAGGCAGGGCCAGTGCTAGCAGCAGTCACTGCAAGGGGGAAGCAGTGGTTGAGCTCAAAGCGCAGTGCAGCTCCAAGCTGCTGAACGGAGAGGCTTCCGGGAGCCTGGGAGAGGCAGCACCCAGCGTAGCCCCAGGGGCAATGCAGCACCTTGCACCTGCCCCACGCAGACCCAGGACGCCAAGTCCTGCAGCTGCTCCTGTGCACGAGCGACCTGCACCTGGGGAATAGCCTGTGCCTGTGTCTGGCCGCAGGCAGGGGCTGAATGCCACCAGTGTGGCCTGCAGCTGGGGTCTGACCCGCAGCAGAGCTGCCCCCTAGCCAGGGCCACAGCACACAGAGCTGCCCCCGGGCCCGGGGCAGCCACGCACTGCCTGCCCCTGGGCATGTGGCCTGTCCCAGACCGGGCCGCAGGGGCAGCCGCACACTGACCTGGGCCCGCGGCCCCTCGGGGTCCCGGCACGTCGCGAAGATCCAGGCTGGGGGCCGAGGCCCACCCAGCAGCTGCTTCACCAGCTCCCGCCCGAGGCCGCGGTTGGAGCCGGTGAGCAGGCACG